CCGGCAGTCCGGACAGGGGAGCGCTGTGCCCCCGCTCGCAGCCTTCCTGCGATGTGGAGGGTCGCGGTGCTGCGACGATCATGAAAACGGCGATGACAGCTGCGGGCAGCGGGCCACAGCTTGACTCCTAGCTTCGTGCCATTCCGCGTGGCCCCCGTTGCAACCCTCCCGCTGGAAAAGCCTGTAACAGCCTCATGTTGACGGTGGAGTGCGCCTTCTTGGTTGGCCCTTGGCGAGGTCTCAGCTCAGATGTCGCCTGTTCAGAGGGGCCTGCCCCGTCTGCAGCAGAGCACCTGCCCCTCTTCTCACTGGGCCCTGTCCTCCCAGGGTGGCCAGCACAGGCTCCCATTGTTGACTTATGGACCGTTTATCGCATGCTCCTCCCAGCTAGAATGTAAACACTGGGAGGGGAGGGGCCGTTCTCTGGTCCCTCTCTTTGGCCCCAGTGCCCAGAACAGTACCTGGTGTGCATTGTTGGCTCTCAGTAAATCTTTGTGAATGAATGAAATTTGCCCCGGTGGAGGTATTAGAGAGGAGTTGAGAATTATCCCTCCCCCCCACCCCCCCACCCCCCAGTAATTTAAAGCGATAACTAATGCCTATGTGAGGAACTTGTTGCCTCTGGTCCATAACGGGGACGATAGAATCCCAGGACTCCTTTTTCTTACAAATCCCAGAAACTTTTTCAGGCCCCATGCCGCACCAGCTCTCTGCAGCGCCTGGCAGTATCGATCACTGTGAGTCTGACATGCCTTTTTCCTCCTGGCATTGTTATTTTATGGGTCTTTTCTGGTCTGTGTGATCTCAGAGCAAACCATCTGACTTTTCTGGAATTGTAGTTACTCATCTATAAAATGAAGCAATTTAATTAGATGGTTTCAAAGGTCCCTTTTGGTTCAAAAGTGGGGAAGAGGGTGGGAAGTAGGAGAGAGTGTAAATGAAACAAGCTTGGCCTTGGTTTGGTAATTGTTGAAGCTGAGGGAAAAGTAATGGGGGCTTATTGTATTCTGCTTTTGTATGTGACTGAGGTTTCCCATAATGAAAGGTGTTTTGTTTTTTAAAGTCTGTGATTCTTTTTTAATTACTTGCTATCTTCTACCATCTTTGACAGTGTTCTTTGATCCTGACTATAGACACTCATTCTCAGAGAACTCAGCCTTTCTTGTTGCTTGAATTATCACCTCTGTATGGAGGGTCCAGTTCGGATTCCTCACACTAGCTGGTTTTCTGCCTTTCAGTTCTGTACTTTCAGTTTTCCATAGGACAGTTCCACTGGGCAGCTCAGAATCCCCCAGGTCTAGGAAGTGGGCTTCATATACATGTGGTCCACATGGCTTGTAGCTGGGTCAGTCTTTTAGTGTGGGTAGGAAGGAATTAACAGACAGCTTAGCTTCTTGAAGCTGTGCATATAATGGCCAAAAAGATCTGTGTGACCTACTCTGATCACTTGGAAGATCCGCCACGAGAGCTTGATATGGAGGCAGCATGGTGAAAGGGGTGGCAGGGAGGTCATCTGGGACTATATTAGGTAGCTACTGGTCGTGTCTGATTTTGCTTTTAAAAATTGAAGTATTTTATAGTCATTAAAAGAAAATTCAAGACCTTCAGTTACCTGTCTACTCACCTAATTTAAAACCCCTACAATCGTGACTCATTGTTGATGGTGAATAGTGGATGTGGCCACATATTTGCAGATTTTTAATGTATCTATGGTAATGTATCTATTGTATCCTGTGTATCTTTTAACCTAAGTTTGTTTACAGAGGGCTGAAATGTCTTTGACATTCTAGGCACTGATTCATACAAATGTAACATGTTTTGACTAAATGAAGTATTTTCAACATTTAAAAGTACAGTTTCCTAGATGTGGGTGTTTTTGTTTTGTTTTTTCTTACTGCCATTCTGTAAAATCTCACTTCATCTACCTATTCATGAGAGATAGTTTGCCAGGTGATTCTTTCCCTCCCAGCAACATGCAGTTCTCACTGGACCTGAGGAACTAAAAACTGATTTTGAAATTTAAGGCCCATACAATAAAACCTTAATGTCTTCTAGACACAATTATTTAATATTGAGGTCCTATTACCTTAAAGAACAATATTGAGGGTAAGAAGGGAAAATATACACCATTAAATTATAAATAAAACAAATATTAAAGGATTGATTTTAAGAAATTTTCCCCTAAAAAACACTGCTATCCCTTTATGTATATATGTACAGGTAAACACACATTCACCTATGTGGAAAATAAGCATTTTATAACTAACAGGTTTGAGAATCTGATTTCAGTGAAGAAGTGACTTATCAACAGTCTAAGATAAGTGCCATGTATTCCAAAGGGCAGTGCCAGTGCTTCCCCCAGTCCAAGTAAGCTATGGGCTGATACACTCATCAACTACTGTTTCATTGTTCTATGGAAAGCACTCTGCTGTGTTATAGCAAAAGTGAGTCTCAAGAAACTAAAAAACATAGTGGAAACAATTTGTATTAAAAAAGTATAGAAAAGTGTGAAGTAATAGAATAGTTGGAAGAGACTGAAAATTTGACAGGTGAGGCAAGAAGCTGTAAGCAGGTGAAGGACATAAAGGTGAACCAGTGTGGAGTGCGATGATGAGACAGCGTGGCTGCACTGAGGTATATTTACATGTTTGGGTGGGTAATTATGTATGTTGGGCTTCAGGAAGAAAACCGTTTGCTCTATGAAACTTAAGTTGGACAGGGAAGGAAATTACTGAAGTAGAGATGACTGTCTTGAATCCTACAACTATTACAATAGTGCAAATGTAAGATAAGAGAATGGAATGGAAAATAGGAATGGGAAGAAGTAGACAGATTTGACATATCTTTCATAGTTGACTGGACTTGATGGTTATTAAATGATGAAGGAAGAATTCAAGCTGTTCCTGAGGGAATGGTTTTCTCTTCAATGGGTCAGAGTAGAGATATGGGTGAGGATAAAGTGTTCTTAGAGGCCTATTGCAACCCATCCATGATACTAAGAGAGCAGTTGGAAATAGGCATAATGACTCTAGAAATGTGTTGAAGATTTAAATTTTGCCTGTAATTGCAATTGCTCAGGGATTAATGTGTCAGGCACAGCAAGAGGAGACACGATAGGAAACTGAGACGTGATGAGCTGAGGCAGAGGAAGCCAGGAACCTTTGGTGTCATGGAAGCCTTGGGAGGAGGGACTCAGAAAGGGAGAGTCTGGGCCGTTATATTGTGGAAGGCCTGCCTAGGAGAGACCTTGTACAGGAGCGTTGGATTTGTTGATATTTGAAAGAAGGTTTAAAAGAATGATTAAAAGCCAAAGGCCTATACTACAAAAATAGTTTCTTCCCAACAAGATTGATAAACTCATACTTTATTGAGAACTGTTTCCTCACCCCTTACTTGGCTTACCCGACATGGCCAAAATAGTAACCTGAAATATATCTTCCAGTTTACAGTTACTTATTGAGAAAAATTATGCTTCTCATTTTATACTTTTAAAGAAGTGATTGAACTGACTGTTCAACATAGTACTGGAAGTATTAGCCATTGCAATTAGGCAAGAAGAAGAAATAAAAGGCATCCAAATTGGAAAAGAGGAAGTAAAACTGTCCTTATTTGCAGACGACATGATATTATACATACAAAACCCTAGAGACTCCATCAAAAAGCTACTAGACTTAATACATGAATTCGGCAATGTAGCAGGATACAAAATTAACCCCAAGAAATCTGAGGCATTCCTATACACCAATAGTGAACTTTCAGAAAGAGAGATTATCAAAACAATCCCATTTACCATTGCACCAAAAAAATTAAGCTACCTAGGAATAAACTTAACTAAAGAGGTAAAAGACCTCTACTCAGAAAACTACAGGACGTTGAAAAAAGAGATAGAGGAAGACATAAACAGATGGAAGAACATACCGTGTTCATGGATTGGTAGAATCAACATCATTAAAATGTCCATACTACCCAAAGCAATCTATAAATTCAACGCACTTCCCATTAAACTACCAACGGCATACTTCACAGATCTAGAACGAACTCTCCAAAAATTCATCTGGAATAAAAAAAGACCCCGAATAGCTGCAGCAATCCTGAGAAAGAACAAAGTAGGTGGGATCTCAATACCAGATATCAAGATGTATTACAAAGCCACTGTTCTCAAAACTGCCTGGTACTGGCACAAGAACAGACATATAGATCAATGGAATAGAATAGAGACCCCAGAAATCGGCCCGAACCAATATGCTCAATTAATATTTGACAAAGGAGGCAAGAACATACAATGGAGCCAAGATAGTCTCTTCAATAAATGGTGCTGGGAAAATTGGACAGATATATGCAAGAAATTGAAACTAGATCACCAACTTACACCATACACAAAAATAAACTCAAAATGGATAAAGGACTTAAATGTTTTATATTTTCTTCTTAAAAATACCTATAGTGTGGTCATTTGGCATTTAATATAACAAAAGCATAATGATCCTGAGCTGAAAGGTTTCCCTAGCCTGTGAAGAATTTTGCAGATTTATCAGTAAGGCTCATAAGTTGTGTTTATTTACAAATCCGGACTAGATCATTTCAAACTTATAACCCATCTCATAGGCATTGCTTACCATGGTTCAGGCACTGCTCCTGGGTAGGCGCAGTCATCCCTGGTGAGAGGCATTAATCACTTTAACGTTGTTCTCCCTTCTGCTCTATTACAGGAGGGGTAGGAGGATGCGTCTGGTATCTAGAAAGAAGAGCTGTGCAGGCATCCCCTCACAAGTTTATGCATCTTTTTAGGAACGCCAGCAAGCAGTGGGTTACATTTCAGCACTTCACCTTCCTCAAGCGAATGGTATGTTCAGAAGACCATCCTTGCTCTGTTGCTTCAGCCTTTCCTTTTCAATTTGCGGGAATTTCAGAAATTCGTGTTACAAGAGGAGTACTAAGAAGTACTGTTTAAAAAGGACTTTTAGTGTCCTCTTCAGTTTATTCAGAACTTAAATCCCTTGCTTTGATTATTCTTAACTGAAACTAGGATAATTTTGGTGTTTGAGCTTAAAAGTATGATCTTGAACTTACTGATTAAGTTTGGAGAAATATTGAAAATTTCTGGCATGGTTTTACTAGGTTAAAATTAGAGAAAGCTGCACTGTTATAATACTTTATAAATTCTTTAAAATTCTGTGAATACAACAGTAATACAGAAATAATTGCTCTAATAGTGGCCCTCCTGTTTTTTTTTACATTAGCAGTGCATTCAGATGCATGTCTGAATTGAACAAATTGAGTTTTTAGTAGTTTGCTCAGCATTTTGTGGTGGGCATTGATAATATATCTCAGTCCTCTTGTAGGCCTGTGTCTAGGTCGGGTTCATGATATTATGGGCAACATAGTAATTTGCTCTGAATTACCAATGAGGGCATTTGACATTTTCTCAAGTAGAAAGTATCATAGAATGGAGAAATCTTAGCTAACAAATTCTTGCAAGCATGAAATAATAGCAAATTCATAATCTAAAATCCTCTTTTAAATTTATCTCTTCTTTTTTTTAACTTAAAATTTAAAGTCTTATAAAAACTTACTATTCTGGTAAGAGATTTAAATTTCCAGTAATGTTCAGACTTTTTAAGTTGGGGGTTTAAGGATAATGGATATTTAGAAGAGAAACTCAAATATATATTATGCCATTTTTATGTAAACAGAACTTTGGATTCATTCATGAGTTTGTAATTCCTAAGACTAGTATGTGTAATGGAAAAGTCTCTTAATTAGTTATCAGGTTAGTGGTTCCATGTCCAGGGCCACCTGTAACTAACTGGTTATTGAATCTAGGCTCTGTCAGTTTATTTCTCAGCCTTGATTTCCTCATCTGCAAATTAAAGAGAGAGATACTAATAATGACCCATCTTCTTTAACACTGTTGCAAAGCTTACATGAGATATGTATATTATATAAACTATAACATGCATTCTATTGAACTATGAAGTGCCTCATGAATGCTAGTAGTAATTACTTTTTGCAAGTAAGTAATGGAGAGTGTGTAGCTCTAAAGCTCATGTTCTTTCCTCATACACACTGCTGTAAGTCACATAGGCCTGGGATGTGCACGTCCGCGGAGCCCCGCTGCACTGTTTGCCTGGGAACATGGCACTCAACAGGTGTTTGGGCTCTTGATTATAGAAAACTTTTTCATTGTGCTTGAATGTTAAACCACCAGTTTCTGGTACTACATTAGGGGACATTCTGGAAGAGATGAACAAGAAATAAAAATATCTTCTTTCAAGGAACTTAAATTCCTAGGAATTTCTAGAAATTTGAAAACTATTGCAGAGGAATTAATTGTGTTCTCCTTATGTCTTAGTCTAGTGCAGCGGTTCTCAACCTGTGGGTCGCGACCTCTTTGGGGGTCAAACGACCCTTTCACAGGGGTCGCCTAAGACCATCCTGCATATCAGATATTTACATTACGATTCATAACAGTAGCAACATTACAGTTATGAAGTAGCAACGAAAATAATTTTATGGTTGGGTCACAACATGAGGAACTGTATTTAAAGGGCCAGAAGGTTGAGAACCACTGGTAGTGACTTCCATGGAACAAGCACTTTAATATTAGTACATGTGCCTGTGTTTTATAAAGTTAGAGGAAAATCTTTTAAGTACCATAAAAGTCGGACCAATAGAAGGTATAACTAAACAACCATTTAAGAGCATTTTGGCTTTGTATACTGACATGTACTTTTTAAATTTAGTATGTCACACAGCTGAACAGAAGCCTCCGCCAGCAAATAAAGCCAAAGTCAGAGCCAGTGGCCTCTCCTTTCCTTGAGAAATCGTCTTCGAGTCAAGCCAAAACGGAAGTATATGAGATGAAGCCTTTTGCACCCTCTACCCTATCTTTGCCCAGAAAGCCTAATGAAACCGAATTGATAGAACTAGAATCTGCCTCAATAATTGAAGGCTCAGTAGATGTGGGAAAAGAGACAAAAGATGAAAAGCAGTGGAAAGAGATGAAGCTGCATGTGGACGATTTGCCAGGAATTTTGGCTCGACTGTCCAAAATCAAACTCACAGGTACTTTGTCTTTCTGGTATGGTTAGAGTCTTCCTTGAAACTTTATTTTTAGTTAAACAAAAAGCTTATTTTATTTACTACTCCAACAGGAATATTTTGAAACTGCAGATTCTCTCTAATTGAGATCTGAAGTCAAATTTTCTGAATTCTAGTTACTCAGAATTGTAAATAGTATTGTATTAAACATGTACTAGAATATCCTCATTTATTTACAATTAAAGTAGAATACTTATCCTGCTTATTTCTGACTTTTGTTTTTTGCATCTGCTGTCCTTTAAAGATGCAGTGCGGTAATGAGTCTGTCTGTCTGAGTTCCACAGCAGCACGGACGGCACTGCTGTGCGTGGTGTGCAGTGGAACCACAGTGGCCACTGGGACTCCCACTCACTGATGTTTGCCTCTTGTAGGACCTCTGGGATTGTCCCAGGTATGAAGGGGTTTTGAGTGCTTTTCTGAAAGGAGGTTTAGGACCAGATTTTTTGCCTAATTGTAGCAAACTGCACCAAAACAATTGCATGCATTTAGGTGTTAACCCATAATAATGTCATTTGGTTGCTACAACCACGCTATGAGTCAGGAGAAGCTTTGTTATTATCATCCCATCTCATAGCTAAACTTAGAAGTAGCTTATTCTGGGCTCATGCTGTTCGGACTATATGTCCTGGGTCATCCTGCAGACGGAAGACCTGGTCTCTCCGTTTCTTCTGGATGAGAATAAGGAGAAGAAATGGGTAAACAGTAAAGTTGTATTTGGTACTCTGCGGACAGAAAGTGGTAAATAATATTGTTGAGTCAAAATCTGCAAGTGAACAGATGAGGCAAAGAGGCTTTGAGAGTAGAGAATAGAGACAAAGAAGGAGTGGTTTCTGTTTGTTTGTTTGTCTTTCAAGAGAGTTGAGCCTGAAATCCAGGGGAAAAGGAGACAAATCAGACACATCTTGTTCCTCAGTGACCAAGCTCACTTACAGAAAACCTTTTAGGGAGGATGGCACTTGGACATAGGGAACTTGACAGAGAATCATAGTAAAACGTACACCGTGCAGCTCTACAGCTGTGAGACTGATTTCGGGTGGTATCTTTGAAATTATGTCTCAGTGCTGGTTTGAGTGTCATGTTGACATGTGAGAAGGACTATAGATAAGGTGTGATTCTAGGATGTCACCCAGAAAACAAGGCCTCTCTGTCTGGGCGCCAGAAGTGAGCTCTGCCATGAGCAGGAGTTTCTCGGTGTGCACTCTGCAGATTCAGTCTGTCATGTCCCATTTCTGTCAGCAAAGCCAATATTCTTCTCCTCTCCTCGAGGAGAAATCTTAGCACATTCTTTGCTTTCCATTCTCCCCTTCAGTCTAACCTCCAGCTGCACCAGTAGGCCCCTCTGTTGTGCCTCTATGGTTTCTCATCCCCATTTCTGAAGCTACCATCCTCGTTTGAGTCCAGACATAGGACTATTATTGCTCCAGCTCCTAACTGTTCTTTCTGCCTCATTCTCCTTCCACTGCAATATATGACACCCAGGGCTGCCAGAGGAATTTCCTAAGGCATTGCTTTCAGTGTTCCTGACCTGCCCAAGAGTCTGCAGTTCCTCTGTATTGCCTCATGCCTCGACTCAGCCTGACTTTAAAGGGACATTATAATCGGAAATGGTTAGACTCTTCCACAGAAATATTTGTTTTCCACCCCACCATACTCCTTCCTCCACGGAGACCAGTCACATCCTTTCAAGGCTTCTCCACTAAGTCTTCTTTTGCTGCTCTCAGCCCAAGTCTCCCTCCTCAACACTCAGAATATGGCTGGGAAGTCAAGCAGACTTGAGTTCAGATCCTGGCTGTGACATTTACTAGCCTTGACCTTGTTGAGACAATTCCCTCATCTACAAAATAGAAATAATAATAAATCACTTAAGAATTTAATCATATAATGCACGTAAAGTACCCAGCAACATGACTGGCACATGGGAGACCTTCAGAGGTTAGTTTTCAAATAATTATAGGTAAACACTTGATTATTCAATATAGGTTGTATTTTCCAAAGAATTTCAGGGCAGAAATCATGCCATATATTGAGCACTTCTAGCTATCTCTCTGGGTACAGTGCTCCTCACTTGGTAGGGACTTGCTTTTTTTTTTTTAATATATTTTTATTGATTTCAGAGAGGAAGGGAGAGGGAGAGAGAAATAGAAATGTCAATGATGAGAGAGAATCATTGATGACTGCCTCCTGCACACCCCCCACCGGGGATGGAGCCCCCAACCTGGGCGTGTGCCCTGACCTGCAATTGAACTGTGACCTCCAGGCTCAAAAGTTGACACTCAACCACTGAGCAACACCAGCTGGGCAGGACTCACTTTTGAGAGGGAACTGACAGACTGAAGTCTCCCAGAGGAGGGCAGCCACAAGGAAGAGGGGATGTGGAAACCTTGTCACTTGGAGGATGAGATTGTTCTGCTTAGAAAAGAGAAGGGAGGAGGGATAAAGTGAGGGAAAGGAGAAAGACATAATAGCCATTTTTAGACATCTGTAGTTCCATTGATTTAAAGGAACAATGCTGCTAACTTATAGTCCAGAAAACAAAACTAGGAGATTGCACATGCTAACAGGGTGGCAGATTCTCTCAGTGTGAAAGAGAGTTCTTAGGAGAACTATTTAGGTGCGAAATGGGCTGCCTTGTAAGGCAATGTTCCCTGTCATTGGAACTATCTAAATGGAAACAGATCATCTTTGAGGGAAGTTGATTCCTGCATTGTGTAGTGGGTGGGACTAGATGATGACAATTAAGAGTTTTAAGACCCTTTTCCATACTCAGAGACTGCCTGCCTTCAGTATTTATTGGTGTTAACCACATATCCCTTGGTGTTGGTTACTGGAGATACAGAGATAACAATAAGTTCAGTCTAATGGGGAGATTTTGTACGCATGTACATATATAAAAATAGAACAGCTGTGGTCCGATACATCTGTGTTTCAAACCCAGAACTCTTTCTTAATACCTGTGTGATCTTGAGCAATTTCTTAACCTTAGAGTGTCTTATTTTCTTTACCTGTAAAGTAGAGATAGTGGCACTTACTTCATAGCCTCATTGTGAGGATTAAATGAGATAATGCAGGTAAAACACCTGCATTAAGTGCCTACCCAGCACTAGTATGCACTTAATTAGCTATAATCAATACTATTATCATTGCTATATGCATCATTAGGGAAATTAGTGTTATAGGAATTATAAGGGATGTGTGCATGAGGCAGAGGGGGGACCCAGAGAAGGGAGTGTTCTTTTGCCTGTGGAGGGAATTGAAGTGAATGAGTGTTTACTGGGCAGAAAAGGCAAGGATTGCAAGCAGAGGCATCTGGCATATTCAGAGCTGAAGTGTGCTGAGTAGTGCAGTGTGACTGGAGTGCTGGAGAGGCACTTCCTGGGTGAATAATGAAGCAGGCTATGCTGTCACTGGCACAGGTTTTCCACCCCAGCAAGGGAAAGACCTGGGGGGCATTTTGGAGGAACACAGTCACTTTGTACGTATTTTGTCTTATTTATTTATCTTTTAAGCAGATTTTAAATACTACTGAATTAATATAAATTTATTGTAAGAGAAAGAAATTCAAATAATACAGAAACAGAGTATCTTAAACTGGAAAAGTACCTTTTTCATTCATTCTAGATGAAACTCCTACTTAAAATGTAGCCATATGTATGCAGATATAAAGATATAGATAAAGTTTTATATATACATATATTTTTATTGGTTTCAGAGAGGAAGGGAGAGGGAAAGATAGAAACATCAGTGATAAGAGAGAATTGATTGGCCGCCTTCTACACGCACCCCCAGTAGGGATCGAGCCTGCAACCCAGTTATATGTCTCAACCAGGAATCAAACTGGCAAGCAAACCATGACCTCATGGTTCATAGGTCAATGTTCAACCACTGAACCACACCAGCCAGTCCAGAATTGCTTTTAATAGCAAAAAAACTGGAAACGCCCTAAACGTTTACCTGTAGAGGATTAGTTAAGTAAATAATGGCAGTTCCATATAATGGAATGGTATGCAGTGAAGTAAATACTGTCAGTGAAAGCTACACTGTTAAGAGAAAATGACAAGTTGTAGAACTGTGTATGCATGTGTGTATAATGACCCTATTTCTATTAAAATATAAAGCCTCGCCCTAACGGGGTGTCTCAGTGGTTGAGTGTCGACCTATGAGCCAAGAGGTGATGGTTCGATTCCCGGTCAGAGCACATGCCCAGGTCCCAGGCTCGATCCCCTTTGTGGGGTGTGCAGAAGGTGGCCGATCAGTAATTCTCTCTCATTGTTATTTCTCTCTCTCCCTCTTCCTTCCTCTCTGAAATCAATAAAATATATTAAATAAATAAGAGCAATTCTGTTATTAACTTTTATGTATATAAATCTTTGTATACTTATGTGAGTCCTTGTGTAGGATAAGTGTTTAGAAATGTAATTGCTAGCTTTAAATATTGTAATTTTGATAGACTAACCGGTTTGTGCCTAAAAAAGATAGTTTAATTTACATTCCCTCCAACGGCATGTGGGAATCTGACTCCTTCTGTACTCCATGCTTGTGAATTAGTTGTCTTTACCAGTGTTGCCTGTTTGAAAACTGAAAAGATTTTTGTGTGTTCGTTTTTATTTTCTCAGTTTTGGTGGGATTTAGCATCTTTTTCTCTATTGACCATTTCTATGTTTCCTTTTATTTACCTCATACCCTTGGTCATTTCTTAATGATGGTTTTAGAGCTCTCTTTAGCATTTTATCCATCATATGCATTAATTTTTTAAAATATTTTCTTTTTCCTTTATTTTACTTGTGATATTTCACTGTTTTATTTTGCCCTGCTGAGATTTTTCAAATTTGTTAGTTCTTTTTTGGGGGGTTTTTTGTTGTTTTTTTGTGCTTAGAAATATTTTTACTGCCCTATGGTTATAAAAGCATTCACTGTGGGTGGTTCTTTTTTTTAATACTTTAATATTTTTATTATATTCTCTAAGG